CACCAGCACCGTCATCATCATTACTGCGCATCATTCGCAAGAATATTTTCTTCTTCTCAAGCAGAATAGCAGTTCGTTTCTCGTTCTTTCTTCTTCATTATTTACTTATTCTTCTTCGAATTCCTTGGGAACATTATTTCATGAACCGTAACCTGCGTAAACTCGTTTTACTCCCAGAGAGTACCCATACCCCACGGACTTTGAGAGAGGGAAAATCACATCCTGGGTCCTCCCCCAATCCCACTACCAACATCATTCACACCAGTCCCCTTAATCTTGTGATCTCCAGGCTGAGCGGCTGCCTCGTAGATGATGTTGGTGGGCGCCTTCCCCAGTTGCGTCCACTCCCCCTTGAACCCGATGTAGCTGATACGCGTCACGTCGTCGCCGAAATTGTCTGGGAAGAAGAGCACCAGCCTCTGCACCTTGCCGAAGAGGGCCCTCCTGACGGGGATCTCTTGCACATCCGTAGTCTGGGAAAGCTCGAGCGTCTGCTGAGGCTTCGTGTCCTCGGCAGACGAGAAGTCCAGGTCATCTCGGTTGATGTGTAGATGGACCGTCTTGGGGGCGTCATCCGATGGGGAAGAGCGGATGAGGATGGAGTGGAGTTTGACCTGGGCCGTGAATCTGTTTTTGTTTTCCTCTGTGTCAGGTCATCTTCATTTCTCATTCTCGGACAGAGGAAAAAAGAAAGAAAAAGAAAGGGACATACGGCACAGTCATCAACAGCTGCTCATCTGCATCGCTCTCCAGCTCGGGCTCAACTTCCATCCTCTCGGCCCATGTCTTTTTGACAATCAGCTTGCCCGCATCCCGGACAGATTCGTTGAGCGTGGTGATCTCGTCAAAGTTGACTTGATCGTATAGAGAGAACTGGATGACCGGGGTGATGTCGTCTGAGTGGTCGTGGTCGTGGTCGTAGCCGTGGTCGTGGCCGTGGCCGTGGCCCGCATGCTCGTCGTGACAGTGGGACATGGTAGATGCAATCCTTCTTTCTTTTCCTTTTCCTCTCTCCTCCCTTCTTCTCGACCTTCAAAGTTTACTATCCGAATCACTTCTTTTCTGAAGAGAGGCGAAAGAAGAGACCGATAACTTTTGAGCTATGATGTAGTGGGCGATGTGGGGTGAAATGACCAAGTGAAGTGAGGTGAGAGGAAAAAAAGAGGCGACTTCCTTCCCCGCCGTTAGCCGCTCTTGCTTTTTAGATAAAGCAGTCGCCCCCTCCCCCCCTTGAATCCTGAATGTTTGCCATGACGAGTGCACGCAGTTCTACCATCACAGGTAGCGGTGATGCTGTCAAGCATCTCTATGCATCTTCCCATCCTGGATCCAACGTATGATACTTGTACGATCAACGCCGAAAACATACGTAATACTTTTGCTAGACCAAAACCGGGTATAGGTAAACGGGCATCCAATATAATATATGGACCGCTCTATAGATTCATCTCCCATCTTCACCGGAATCCACTCCTCTTCTCCTTCTTCGCCTTCTTCTTCTTCCTACCACCAAACGGCCCCGAGACCGGCTGGCTCATACTGATGACTGGCGGTCCGGGAACCTGCGACGAGGATGGTGGCATCTGCAGCTGACTGGACAAGACCTGCTGCGTCGCCACACCTGACCTATCATCGTCTCTCTTCTCGGGAAGCGGCGACGGCAGACCAGACCTCGCGAGCGACGACGACGACGTTAGCGGAGGAGGAGGGACTCTCCGCCGATACCTGTCCGACGTGGCTCTGCGCTTGGCCTCGATCCTCTGCAGTCGTTGCCTGGCGCCGTCGAGCTTCTTGTCGCTGGCAATGGCCACGCTGGACACATAGGTGGCCGGGTCGACGCCGCGCTCCGTAGGCCAGTACGACAGCACAGCGGGCTTCTTGGACGTCTTGGGGGGCTGGATCGTAGGTGCGAGGAGCCGGAGACGCTCAAACGCGTCGTCCGATATCGGCTCAGCTGAGGAACGGACGCTGCTGGCTGGTGGCGAGGAAGGGAACGGCGATGATGGGGGGCCGGAAGTAGCAGCCTGGGAGGATCGGGCCGAATTGCGCGGTGGCAGGCCGCTCTGCTGTGATCGGGACTGTCCCCTCGTGCTGTTGCTGTTGAATAGCGGTCTGTTCATGGTGCCCTGCACTGCGACGCCGTGCATGGAGAGGAAGAGTTCCCTGGATAGATCGGCTAGCCACGACTCCCGAGCTGCCAGCTCTTGGGCTGATAGCTTGTGCCGAAGTGGGCCTAGCCATATGGACTTGAGCTGGCGGTGTAGTTGCGAAAAATTCCCGACTCTGGAGGTATCGCCGTTGCGGCGCCTGGTTAGCTGCACCATGACCGTCTGATCGCCCACCTCGCGCAACATCTCCTCGACTGCCTTGGCTAGCTGTTCGGCTGGGACAGTATCAGACGCGTGATCCGATTCGCCTTCTGCTACAATATCTTGCCTTTGTGAGAGTTAGCCACATGTACGTTTATAGAGGAAGAATAGAAAGTTCCCACCATGTCATAAAGGGCATGGTCTCGTTGATATGCCTCCCGTGAACCACGTCCCGAAGCATATCGAGATACTGTTGAGGCAACCCAGCAGCGGTAGGCAGGCTGCTGTTATCATGCAGCCTTTCCGATATAGCCCGGCGAATGATGGACATGTTCAGATGAACAGGTTTCGAAGACTCGGTCGCCCCACCCCGAGTCGCAATGCCGGGATAGCTACTATCTTCATCTTCAACTCCCTGAGGAGGCCGCCGAGAGAGTGACATGATGACATCGTCTGTCATCGTTTCCGGCACTACAACCGTCTCTCCCATGTAACGCAGCATCTGGAGCCTCTTCTTCTTCCACCGGCGATTCTGGTCCATCTTTGTCCATCCGATGCGATTCGTAGGCGGTGTCACATCGAGCCTCGGATCGGAGGCTGCGAAGCACACACAGTATCGAAGACTGAGGTCCTGACCGAGAACCATACCCTGGTAGAACTGCACGCCAGCCTGTCGGTACCGGAACCCGGTACCCGACGCGGGGTGTGTGGATGTGAACTTGCAAGGGTGGAAAGAAATTTCCTGGAGAGCAAATGATTTGCTCTCTTCCTTCGCCGAACATTGCATGATGTAGGCTATTTGGGAGTGCCATTGCGCCAGCTTATTTCGAGGATCAAGGTTGAACCAATGCACGCTGACCTGATGATCCGTCGTAGAAGAGACAAATACCATCGGGACCTCGCCCTCTACGCCGGTAGAGGAGCTGACCGACATCCTCAAACCGGCACTGTTCTCCATCCTGTGCGGACAGGTTAAGATGATGGCAGGCTGTGGGGAAGAGCCGGGCCTAGACGAGGCCGTCACATCAATCCAGACGATGAACTGCGTGGTGAGCATGAAGATATGTCTCTGGTCGATGGGACTGAGACGGATGTCGATAATGTGGCCAAACTTGCTCTTAGCTGTGGAGAAGTTGGCTATCCGTGGGAGAGGAGAGTTGGACTCGATGTCGACAACCTCGAACTGTTCGCTGTTCCAGAGAACGAGGTGTGTAGAGCGCCTCGGCGCCTCGCGTCGTTCTCCGGAATCGTGGAAAAACGTGTCGTCGTCCCAGAAGTCTTCGGCCCCCGACTTCCCTGCAAAGAGCACCCCGTGCTTCTCAGCGGGATACAAAGGTCTGCTAGGGATGGCAGCCAGGGCGCCCTCCCATATATGGCCGCACTTGGACAGGGATAGACGGAGCTTCTTTCTGTCGGTCCTGCTGTAGGCCAAGACATTCCACAGGGTCCAGTAGCCGCACTCGTCGACTATACAGAGCTGGGGTGACCGGTCGTCGCCGGGGGGGTTGAATGCCACGTCCGAGTGAGCGTTTCCGCCCGTGTTGCGGTGGCTCAACGCCAGAAGCGGCGTCGGGTTGATCCGGGACAGCGCCTGGCGGGAGTTCCTGTAAGATCGACTCTCGGATCTGGGCACCTTGTTGTATTCCGGATACAGTATGGTGGTCGACGTCTGTTTCTGCACCAGGAGCCATCTGATCGACAGGCTGGCTGCGAACTTGACCTGAGAGATGGGAAGGCCGTCGCTTGCCCAGAGCACCTCGTCCTCGTGGTCAACAGGATCGATGACGGATAGGTGGAGCGTGGTGCCAGTGCTGTCGCCCCAACCCCAACGAGTGTCTTCGACGCGCACCAGACGAAGCAGCTCACCCGACTCACCAGTTGCCGTGGCAAGGACAGGCGCCACCGTGGGCCGGTAGGCGGTGCTCGAGTCCAGCATCTCACCCATGGCGAGCACAGACCGTGTCGACGAGGCACCGTCCAGCCTCCGGAACCTCTCGTCATCCTCTCTAAGGAGCGTAGCCAGCTCAGGGTTTCCCATGAAGGCCTCGGGGTGAGACTTGAGGAGCCATCGCGTCTGGAGATTCCGCTCCGCCCATAGGTGCGAGTGGGTGGGTTCCGGCAGTTCTGAGCGAGAGGCCGGGAATAGCTCTGTAGAAGAGCCTACTTGCTTGAAGCAGGGCTCTGCGAAAGGTTCGGCCAGGTCAGTCATCTGACCGATGCATGCATGGATACATGGACGGGAGAGTACATACGGTTAGATGTGAGCCGCGTGGTGTGAAGAGAACCGGGTTGACCAGTAGTCCTGTCGTCTCTGGGCAGATAAGTCAAGCGGCCGACGTGACCAAATCGCAGGTCGGCAAATTGCCGAGCGTCAGCCATCAGGTCGACGCAATGAGGTCCAACGAGATAGTAAACTGGTCAAGAGTCTGTTCATCTCGAAACAACCGTGGGAGAAGGCTGATTCGGAAATACCCAAGAGATTGCAAAGGCTACATCAAGAGCACATGCTTTGAAATGTTTAGTGACGAATTATCAACTCCAACAAGATAATGCAGGATATGTGATGTAGAAGGTGAATACGTATTTGGCAATATGAAAAGAATCGAGCGACGAGAAAGGATGTTCGTGTGTGAAATATATTCCGAGGAAAAATAAAAAAGAGATGGGAAGTGAGTTTGAGGAAGAAAACTGAATAAGCAGTGCCAGTGCCAGTTGAAGCTTTGCACGAAGAGTGCGGATTACAGAGTACGGAGTACGGAGTATTATTATATGTAGAGAGACGAGGAAAGTCCCACTGTGGCTAATGAGCTGGTCATGCGCCACAAACTCTGTCACCGGAAAGAAATCGTAAAAATGTTGGCGCAGCAACGCGACGCTTCCCTCCCCATCCCATCCAAAACATTACTACGTACGTACATGCTAGCTGATCCAAAGAGAGGGGGGACGCCACAAAAACGGTTCGACAACAATGCGACGCGCAACTTCCGCTAGTACTACCGGTACGGCAAGGACTCACCATCGTTCTCCGGACGAACCATTCTCAGACGACCCGAGACTCGGCAGCGGCGACGACAGCAATAGCAACAACAACAAGAGACGGAGGAAGCAGACCAGCATGGCAGCAGCAGCGTCGTCTTTCGAGCCGTCGCTATCGACGAACCACCGGCAGACCATGTCGGCGTCGACAATGGCGGCGACGGCGGCGGCACCTTCGGTGGCCGAGACGCTCCCCAGCATCGATTTCGGATTCGACGACCTACGCGACCGGATGAACAAGTTCACCGCTCGGTTCGACGCCTTTATCGAGCAGGGGCGCAAGAGACTGCTGGAAGAGCGCAACCAGTTCCGGATGAATGTGGCAGAGCTTCAGGGTACGCAGGGAACATCCTTCCCTCCTCGTTGCTGTCGTCTGATGGTGATCATGTGCTGACTCAGAGTGACCTGTGCGCGTATAGAGGACCAGAGGATGAAGAAGCGCGACATTGAAATCGTCCAGATCAAGATATCGACGCACCAGCAGACGGTGGCCAAGGAGGAGGCCGAGACGCGCGAGATGGAGTCGGCGATAGCGTCGCTGACGCTGCAGCGCGACAACCACCATGCCGAGCGCGACGCGCTGAAGGAGCAGATCGCCAAGATGCAGGCCGACATCGAGGCCCGGCTCGCGGCCCAGCGCGCCTACGCCCAGCGGCAGGAGGCTCAGTCGCGCTTCAACGTGCCCGAGCTGGACTTCTGGATCACGAACCTGTGCATGCGCATCGAGGGGGCCGGCCACGACGACCGCCTCAAGTTCGTCTTCAGCCACGTCGACGAGCGCAACTGGGAGCGTGAGGCATGGTTCGAGCTCGTCACCAGTTCCAGGGACTACGACGTCAAGCACTGCCGTCCCAAGCTGGAGCGCGAAAAGGTCGAGCGCGTCCTCGACAAGGTCAACGAGTCGCGTGAGCTGGTCACCCTGCTGAAGGGGATGAGGGAGCTGTTCGTCGAGGCCATGAAGTCATGACGGCCCATTGTCGTCTTTCTGTTTTTTTTTCTTCTGTTTTTTTTTTGTTTTGTTTTACAACTCTCCCCCCCAACTTGACTACTATATCCCCGGCCTTTTTTTTTTCTTGGGCAAACAATAACGGGTTGGATTCAAAGGCGTGGCGTTGGGTATTGCTGTACATTCTATATCCCCGTATCTATGTATCCCCATGACAAGATGATTTTACGACTTATCTATACATGTTTCCCTCGACTGTTCGTGATCCCTTCTTCAGTGTGCTGTGTGCATGTAGGTGTACCGTACTGCCCTTGTTTTGAGTGACGTGGGCCGATAAAACGCGGAGCACCACAACAACGTCCATGTATCTACTACTAAGTAACCCCCCCCCCTCCCCCCCTCCCCTCCTCTTCCCGGCCCACTTCTCCCAGAACATCAACAACACCACCGCCACACACACAACACCAAAAAATGCCCGAACCAGACAAGCATGCAGCTGCAAAGCAAGCCGTCGACATTCTCGACGAGATTGCCACCATCTTGGTACCCTCCACCCCCCCCCCCCCTCTCCTTTCACCCCGAACCTTGAGGCTGATGCGAGTCTTGATGAAAGAACTGCCATCTCGACCGTCGCACTCTATCCATTTGCATCTCCATGATTGAACGGGGCGTCAACCCAGAAGCACTGGCTGTAAGTTGACGGTTCGATGCTGTTTCTCTATCTCGTTTTCCCCTTCATCCATCTCTTCTTCTTGTTTGTCATCCTACAGTACTCAATACTTGGCAGTACTGCCAATGCGTAGCGGAATGCATGGCTGACAACAAGGCGTAGCAAGTCATCAAGGAGCTTAGGTTGGAAGCGCAGCAGCAGCAGCGTGCTTAAATATCGAGCTTCTCTTGAATCCTTTCATTTTCGTTCCTTCGCTGTTCTGTTCTCTATTCCTCTCCTATTCTTTTCACAAAAGATCTGGGCGTATCGGCGCTGTCTTGCAAGCCCACATTCTCGATGCAAATTCATACAGTGAATTCACCTTGTACAAAAGACGCATACTTGTTCAACTAGTATTGTATTATATATGTCTTCACTGATGCATTCTGAATTGCCCATCATGAACACCTATTGACCATCTCATCATCGGGAGAAGAATTAGGAATAGACGCTGCCTTCAAAAAATAAATACGATAATAGAAGAGAGTGAAAAGGAAGACAGGACCAAATGGCATAAAAGCACAAATAAAAGAGCAGAAAAAAAAAAACAGATAAAAACACCCTTGCCTTGCTGAATTGTATGCTCTCTCTCTACCTCGTCAACCAGATGCATGTACCACAGAGGGGGATGGAAAAAAATCCAAACCAAACAATGAAGGACAAAAAAAGTATCAGAAACGCCACCGTTTTCTCATACATGAACGCCAAAAAAAAAAGTCATCGGTGCCCAATCAAAAGAATGTCGTTATCGTCGTCATCTTCCTCCTCCTCCTCGCCATTGCCGTCCTCATCAGACGTGCCGTCGCTGCTGTCCTCAATGTAGGAGCTGTCATCGTCGTCATCGTCGTCATCGGCAGCAACGAAGCTCCCGCGCCAGAACCCAAAGATGCCGTCCTCAGATTCCGTATCGGATTCGATGTGGGGCACTTCTGGTCCCAGCCGCACCGTGGCAGGCGGATACGATGTGGCGATGAGGTCCGAGGGTCGGCGTGTCATGGCCACGTGGGATGAGTGTCTGCGCCGGCTGATCTGGGGCGGGGTGTTGTTATGGTTGTGCGCATCCCCGATATGATGATGTCCCGTCTCGACTGCTGCTATCAGCTGCTGCTGCTGGAGTACCTCTGGTTGGGCGGTAGTGGCAGTAGCATCGTTGGCGTCGTCGCCGGCGTTTTGACCGGTCTGACCGGCATGGTTGCCTCCGAGGATCTGGAGTTCGACCGTGTTGTACGAGAGGCAGATCCTGCACTTGAGACCGAGCCAGTGGTAGGGGACGGTGCTGCGGCCGGAGCAGTCGTTGCAGAGGATCAGAGCCTTGGTGTCGCGGAACTCGGCTGGCATCGGCTGGCCCTGGATGGCCACGTCGAGGTTGCGGAACTGCGACTCCATGTTGGCCAGGCTCTTGTTGCAGATGGGGCATTTGTAGGACACGCTCATGTGTTGGTCGTAGCACTTCTTGTGGATGCTGTGCCCGCACGACATGAAGACAACGGGTCGGGGTGACGTGAACATGTACTCTCCACAAATGGGACAGTTGCAGTCCGTCGACCTCTCGATACATTTGTGAGACGTCTCAATCGACGTTGGGATGCATGCGCAGCAGGTCTTTCATTCGATATTCCCCGTTAGTCTCGCGCCATCTTGATCCGGGGGACGGATAGACACCGGTGCTCGGGATATCAACTTACCATGCAGTGGACATAGTCCTTGCCCAGGCCCATGCCGCGGCGACAGATGCCGCAGTCGTTGCAGTGATATATCGGCTTCGACTGACGATTCTCCCAGAGCTTACAGACGCTGCAGTAGTACTGAGCAACCAGCTCGCCGCAGCCGACGCACTGGTCCGAAGCCTTCTGGGGGGTGCCGCAGAGCATGCAGAGCATGTGGCGCGTCTCGAAGCGGGGCAGGCGATGGTCCTCTTGCGCGTCGTGGCACAGGAGGCACGGGTACCACTTGTTGCAGGTAGCACACTGTAGCTTGACATTCCTCTCATAGTGCTGGCAGCCTAGTGGCGGATGTACCGTCTCGGCCGTGGCAGAGTCGGTCTGGGCGCTGGACAGCTGGACATTGGAGTGGCTCTTGGCACGGCGGATAGGTGCATAGGAGGGAGATAGATCGGCGTGGCTCAGGACGAACTTCTCGGGCGTGGGCGAATCACTCAGCGGACCGTTCCAGAAGCGGAGGGACTCGAGCGGGCCCTGGGGTACGGGCTCCTCCCTCAACTCGGCGGTCGCGGCCGGGGGCGACGAGGAGCCGTCCTCGCGCTCTGCGCAGTTATTGCCCGCATCTGCAGCTTCTCGCGGCGTAGCCTTGGAGGCGCGGTAGCTTTCGAGGAGGAGTTCGTGGAGGAGACGGGCCTTCTCGGATGACGACAGGTCGCGAGCGTGGATGGAGTGGACCCGGGTCCGGAGAGCTCTCATGCCGTCATCTTCGGGTATCTGGCTGCTGCTTCTCTGCTGGGGACTCAAGGGGAAGCCGAGATGGTCCCGCGGGAAGCCGTCGTCGACGGTGGGCGTCATTGGGCTCGTGATGGATTCTTGGTTCGTCATCTGCTGCGAATCGGGGCAGGAGATTGCCGAGTTGCTGAGCGGGGAAGCATAATAGTCGGTGGGTTGGTTGCTACTATCGTCAAGTACAGGGTCCGGGGAGTAGGCCGCCCCGCCACCACCACCGGCAGTAGTAGTAGTAGTAGTAGTAGTAGTAGTAGTAGTAGTAGTAGCAGCAGCAGCAGCAGCAGCAGCAGTAGTAATAGTAGCGGTAGCGGTAGCTTGGGTCGAGGAGCGAGATGCCTCAGATAAACGTCGTGCTTGGCGAAGAACAGGGTTGATGATGAACTCGTTCACGAAGAAGGACATATGGCGGACAGGGAGGAATGGGAGTGTGGTGCACGCGCGAGCCCGACACAACAAGAGACGCTGAAGCTCGAAAAAGGAGATGCGGCGACGTCCAGTTTCCCGATGGGTGGAACCTTGTCAGACTGACGGCAGGGCTCTCTCCAGGTAGGATAAAGCGCAGGCCAGAAGGAGGAGGGGAGAGGTTGAGAGAAGGGTTAGGGGTGGTGGGTTGAGAAGAACAGGGGACCGGCTAAGGATGCAGAGTCGGGCGTTATTCGAGGCGTTGATGCAAGGTGCAATAGTATGATATGATTATAGAGACGGCTTTTCTCAACCGGGCACGTCAGCAATTCATACGTACGGCCCAACAGACTTGTAGGTTCGGATCCGCATGCGTGCGGCAGGATTAGATGGGATGTCTAGCAGGTGGTGTCGAGGGAAAAATCGAATGATGGCTTGTCTCTCCGGATGACATAACCAGGTGTGGGCGCGGCACCCTCTACCTGTCATGTGTGTTATGTGCTCTTGGTTATGTGCTCTGTCTTGTACGAGTATTTTAATACGAGTGTGCAATGCGCTCTGCTTGCAGCTGGTATGTGCGAGTACGGAGGAGCATGGGCGGGGAAGTGAGCACTGGGCGCTGCGTACGGATTGCAGAGTCCATATTACTCGTACGAATAATGGAAAGCATGTGATGGAGCTCAGTGTCAATCAGTAATGTCCGTACCGCGGAATAGTAGCGCTGTCTCCGCGCTGTCTTCCTGTGGCTGGAATTTATCGTGTGGCTGACGATGATTCCGATGGTGTGGTTGACTGTGGCTGGTGGCTACTCGTGGAACTCTCGATACGGTGTAATCTGTACAGAGTACAGATGTACAGATTATGGAGTGATATTGGATAAGTATATATATATACGTACTCCGTATGTAGAGAGAGTTTTTGAACCATCAGGCAGGCTCGGGTGGTGGTGGTGGTGTCTCTACTCAGTAATAATATATCACTCCGTACCTCTTTTATCATCAGCGCTCCCAACGAGCAGTAGCCTGTAAAACAGCCCAGAAATAGCACTCGATATATCGCGTAGACTAGCAGCACGGCGATATTACGGAGAATACGGATGATGCTACCACGAGCATATGTAGCAACACCTCTACTAGGAACCCATCGTACCTGAATCACATTCTGGCGGGGGCGCGTACGTATACGACGCAGAAAATGGACGCGCTCTGGCAGGGCTGGAACGTGCTTGTAGCTAGCGCTAGTAGTAGCCCCTCGGCCCTCGACCACCGACCGGTCCATCGAGGGCGGACTCCCATTAGGTGGCATCTTGGACGGGCCCTGAGATGCAGGGGGGCTTCGTAAACCAGGACCACGACAGACTTGGCCTCCCACTCCGCCACAACAAGTCACTATCGACTTCTTGTCTTCTTTCCCTTCTTCTCCTCCTCCGTCTCCCCTTTCGGCATTCCAAGAGTCTGCATTTGACGGCGTCGACAGAGAGGCAACCGTCACTTTGTTTTGGGGCGTTTTCTTTCTCCCCTTTTTTTTTTTTTCCTCTTCTTCTTTCTTTAGGTGTCCTTTCTTTGCTTCCATTGCTTGGCCAATCCTTTGGCGCTTCTGACCCCTGCTCTTGCTGTGCCTCTGTTCAGCTTGAGCTCTCTCTCTGACCATCTCTGGGTCCCCTTTTATTTCTTCTGCTCTTCCTTCCACTTCTGCCTTACCGTGGTATCGGCTTGTTTCCTTTCTTCTCCACGAGCCGTCTCATTCTACAGCAATCACTGCCATGGCTGCCGACAAGGCCGCCGTCGCCTCGGGCGTCGACCAAGGTGATGATGGCCTGAGAAAACGTCACGCCTCAACTCCCACCATCGTCCACCCCGCGCAACCTGATGATACTAAGAAGACGGCTAAGAAGGTGGGCATGGCAGACCCCGGATCGCAGGAGAGAGAAAGAGAGAGAGAGAGAGAGAGAGAGAGAGAGAGAGAGAGAGAGAGAGAGAGATTGTTGGCTAACCCGTGATTTTTACTATAGGAGAAGGGTCTCCTTGACATCTGGAACGATTGGGAATCCATAATCGCCCCCATCCTCTTCACCATCGCAGCCTTCGGAACTCGCCTCTGGAAGATTGGCCTCAGCGACATTGTGACGTGGGACGAGGCCCAGTAAGTCATCACTGGAATCTTCTCTCCCTCCATCTCCCTCTCTTCCACAAGCTGACCCGTTTTGTCCCTGCAGTTTTGGCAAGTTCGGAAGCTACTACATCAAGCATGAATACTACTTCGACGTTCACCCTCCCCTCGGCAAGATGCTCGTCGGCCTCTCGGGTGTCTTGGCCGGATACAATGGATCCTTCGAATTCAAGTCTGGCGAAAAGTACCCCGAGGACGTCGACTTTGCCTTTATGCGTGCCTTCAATGCTCTGTTTGGCATTGCCTGCATCCCCCTGGCCTACTTCACCGCTCGTGAGCTCAAATTGCGCCGTCCCGCCGTCTGGCTGGTGACGCTCATGGTCCTTTGCGAGAACTCGTACACCACCATTAGCCGATTCATCCTGCTCGACTCCATGCTCCTCTTCGGGACCGTCCTGACCGTCTTCTGCTGGGCCAAGTTCCACAACCAGCGTTACAACAGTTTCGAGCCCGAGTGGTTCTTCTGGCTGTTCATGACGGGCTTCAGCATTGGCTGCGTCTGCAGTGTCAAGCTTGTTGGTCTCTTCGTCACCGCCATGGTTGGCATCTACACCATCGAGGATCTTTGGGCCAAGTTTGGCGACACCAGGATGCCAGTGGTGAGTATTTCTGCATCCTGCATTCCCTACCTCCTTCCCTACCTAAGCTAACCGATCGCCCTCTAACTACAGTCCACCCTCTCGGCTCACTTCATTTTCCGTGTCCTCGGCCTCATCGTCCTCCCCTTCCTCATCTACATGCTGTCGTTTGCTCTCCACTTTGCCATCCTCGACCGCAGTGGTCCTGGTGATGCCCAGATGAGCTCCCTGTTCCAGGCCAACCTGAAGGGAACCAATGTTGGAAAGGATAGCCCCCTCGAACTTGCCTACGGATCCCGCGCTACCATCAAGAACATGGGATACGGCGGCGGTCTCTTACACTCCCACGTCCAGACGTACCCGGAGGGCTCCCAGCAGCAGCAGGTCACCTGCTACCATCACAAGGACACCAACAACGACTGGTTCTTCTACCCTACCCGTCACGAGCCCGCCTACGACCCCGAGTCTGATGACATCCGCTACCTCGCCGACGGCTCGACCATACGCCTCATCCACGCCCAGACCGGCCGCAACCTGCACTCCCACCAGATCGGTGCGCCCGTCACCAAGGTCGACTGGGAAGTTTCCGGCTACGGCAACCTGACTATCGGCGACGATAAGGACCACTGGGTGGTTGAGGTTATCCGCGACTCGGCTTCCCGCGACCGCAGCCGCATCCGTACCCTGACTACGGCCTTCCGCCTCAAGAACCCCGTCCTGGGCTGCTACCTCCGCGCTGGAAACACCAACCTTCCCCAGTGGGGTTTCAAGCAGATTGAGGTGACGTGCACCAAGGACAACAACCCTCGCGATGCCTACACCCACTGGAACGTCGAGTCGCACATCAACGCTAAGCGTGAGCAGTCCCTTTTCCACCATCGCCTGACCGCGAGGCTGCTCTCTACATGCATACATACTAACCTACCCATCTTGCAGTGCCTCCTAGCGACCCCGGTGTCTACAAGTCGCCCTTCTTCCACGACTTCGTCCACCTGAATGTCGCCATGATGACATCGAACAACGCCCTGGTCCCTGACCCCGACAAGCAGGACGACCTGGCCTCCAAGTGGTGGCAGTGGCCCATTCTGCACGTCGGCCTCCGCATGTGCGGTTGGGACGATAACATTGTCAAGTACTTTTTGCTCGGCAACCCCTTTGTCTACTGGGCCTCGACGGCGTCTCTTGGCATCGTAGGCCTCGTGGTGGTGTGGTACCTGCTCCGCTGGCAGCGTGGCTTCGACGACCTCAACGACACCGAGATTGATCGGATTCACTACTCGGCCCTGTACCCCATCGCCGGCTGGGTCCTGCACTACCTCCCCTTCGTCATCATGGCCCGTGTCACCTACGTGCACCACTACTACCCTGCTCTGTACTTTGCCATCCTGACCCTGGGCTTCCTGGTCGACTGGGCCATGAGGAACCGACACGCCGTGATCCAGACCGTTGTCTACGCCGTCCTATACTCGGTCATCACGGGTCTCTACATTCTCTTCATCCCCATCTGCTGGGGAATGACTGGCCCCAACAAGCAGTACAGCTACCTCAAGTGGTTCGACACTTGGAGGATTAGCGACTAAGTCATCACCGTGGTGCCCATATCATCATTAAAAAAACACATGGACATATATATCCATACCACACTCTCTCCCCAACTCTCATCTCCTACTCTCTTACTCTCTCACCCCCCTCCCTAGCCTTCCTCCCAATTGTAAAAACGGAAAAAAATGGATACGATGGAAAGCAGAACAGCAAGAAAAAAAAGAGGTCGTATCATGTTGTAAAATTATTGGAATAACTGGGATCGGATGGATGGCTGGCTTTTACGAAGAAACAAATAACCACAGTTGCGTCTTATATGCGCAACGCCCTTCTCCTTTTTTTTATTATACTCTTATTTTCGTTGTGTGAGGGTACAAAAATACCAAGGAAAACAAACAAAAGAAGACATGTGCACGAACGAACAAGTGGAAAGGAACGTAGATGGTTCACGGAGATGTTGATACCAGGGCCGCTTTAATGGCGTATTCGACTTGGAAATGCTCTGCTACACACAATTCATCCAGAGTTACTACTACGTTAAACGTAACAAGCGGCTGCTTGTGACACGATTCACCCAGAACAGACACAACCCGTGGCTACTGGTAATCAGCTCTCAATTATATATTAGGTGCTTACAGAACCAAGACTGAATCTGGTAGTGAACAATGCCGAATGTATTCCCTGAAGACGTGTTGGGGGAGGAGGCCAGATGTATGCAAATTGGTATAGACGGGGAGAGACGGGAGCAAGTACATAGTACAAAGGTCATGACAGAATATCTGTACGTGTGCGTGAATGCGTGTGCATGTGTATCAGAGGGAGAGGAGAGGGAGAGAGGAGGGAGAGGGAGAAGGAGAGGTAGAGGGAGAGGGGGGGAGGGAGAGAGAGGGAGAGAGGGAGGGAGAGA